ACATGCAGCGTGGGGCCTGTGGACTCCCATCTCTTATCAGCTCATCACTCAGAGGTGCAGTTAAAGCCAGAGCCGGGCCCAGGTAAACAGAGCTGCAGGCATGCAGAGGGGCCTTAATGAACCCATTGTGCTGCTCACTGTGTGAGGCCTGGAGGCAAAGGAGAGGACGGGGAATCAAGATGGAAGGGCAGCAACCCCTTTTTGTCATCATACTCTGCCGTAAAATTTTATACTCTCAAGTCTGAAACATTCGGTCAGTTCAGTGACATCCACACACATGTTCTAGGCGGCTTCACATGGCAGAAAAAGGCAACTGTCCTATTAGTTTCACGATAACTCCAGTTCTTTTGCTAATAAAAACAGCACAAACGCTCTCGAAGGGAACTCTGAATCTGCATGATCATGTCCTGTCAGCCCAGCCGTGACCCCGTCGGCTTCAGCGCTGCCCAGAGTTGAATTGTAATCTTCCCTGAATGCCTCTATTCAGCCCACCTGCCTTAAGTCCTGTCAGGTGAAAGTGGAGAGAAGTGAAAACACAGAGCGCCTCAGGTCACCCCGGAGGAGTGTTTAAAGCAGCCATAAGTGCAGGTTGACACTGAATTCCGCGAGAGCTTTCTCCACGTGGCCGGGGAACAGAGGGGGCATTGAGCAGCGAGGCGGGAGGAGGAGGAGGAGGAGGAGGGGAAGAAGAGCTGTCGATGTGGACGATGACGAGCACTGCCGGCTGGACCAGAGGGCTGGTCTCTGCAGAGCTGCCTGATCTGTGCTGTCAGGTTTTGTTTTAAACAGTTGTCATGTTTCCTACCTTTACTCTTTCACATGAGTTACTAAACTGCACAAAAGTTTGTCACAGAGTTTTTTCTTATCTCCACAAAACTAGGAAGGGTTCGTAGCAAAACTAGAACTTCTAGAGTCTGTTTAAAAAGTAAGAAAACCTCATTTCAAATCCTACTGACACTTGTAGCTGCTCTACTAACTAAAAATCAGGAATCTTTTTTCTAAACAACATGTTATTTTGGCTCGAAAATTGTCAAATATTTAACCCTTAGGCCTCAATTTAAAAAAAAAAAAAAGTTACACAGAGGTCCTTCAAGACAAAAATGTCTGCGTCAAACACAATGACATAAAGATGTTATATATTAATATTCTGTTCCATACTCCAATAAACCTCAATCTTGATCATAACTAACAAATCATTGTTTTCAGGATTTTAATCCTTTAAATCCCTTTTAAACACAAAGAATAAATTATTTTCTGTTCAATAAGTGTGAAGAGAAAACTTATTATTTTAATTATCAAGGTTTGGAATGTGTCAGTGATTAACAGCAACACTAATTATGATTATTTCTTTTTTTTTTATTATCAAGTGTCAGGTTTATTTATTCATTTTTTATTTTTAATATTACACACCAGACAATTTTGTTTTAGTTTTTAGGATCTTAACCCTTTAAATGCCAGTTTGCTTAAACAACTTGTATTTTGATTAAATAAAGCCACAAAACACAATTATTTTCTATACAATAAGTGTTAAGTGGATATTTTTTGTGATTACCACAGTCTGGGATGTGTCAGTAACTAGCACTAACATTGATTCAGATTAATTATAATTTTTTATCCCAGGTTACAAAAAAAAAACCCACTCAGGTACTGAAAAACAAAAATGTCCTCATCAAAAAAACATCATAAGATAATAGCATTACTATACATTTTTAATAACTAGACAGCACAGTTCGACAGAAGAGTCTACTCCTTGTGCACGTCGAGGGTTAAATCAGATATGACTGTATTAACAGCAGCACAGAAAGGGATCGACACTAGATGTTTGAGAAAAGAGATATTACAGCCAAAGAAAAGGAAAATGACTCCAGAAGAGAGCTCTACTGAGTATTATGGGCATGAATGTAACCACGTAAGGATGCTGTATGTGTCTGCATTTGTACATTTTCACGAGAGGTGCAGTTTTTCTGTGCTCACAAAAACATTCCTTTAAGCCCTTGAATGTTTTTTCAATCCCCACCTAAAAAAAAACATCCCAGATTCATCCACCGTTTATGACTTGACTCAATCTAAAAAAGGTTGAAATCCATGTGGATGCAACAGGTGACGCTAGAAGCTTGGTGAACTACTGTAACGACAGTTTTGTCAGCGTTTTTGATCAGTGCCGTTCAACAACTCTACCTCTAAGTTCTTACATGGATGCTTTGTAGAACCCAACCACTGTGGTGACTCCATGAAACACAACTTAAGGACTGTGACCAGGCCCTGAAACTAAGTCTTATCTGCTACTAATGAGGCATTCTTCCTGTCCAATAAACAGACGACTTCACTTGCATCAATAACTTGTTTTGCTTTCATCTCCAAACTTGTCTCCATTAAAGCACGAGAGCTGAAATGTCATTTGAAATGATACCATGAGTAACATCTGAAGCGATGTGATCGTTCATTTTAAGTTTCAGAATTAGATACTTATAAACACATTCCTCCCGTTGAGCTCTCCCAGGCTCATTACGCTGTTTAATAGCTTTTTTTTCTCCCTTCAGATGAGGCATTCCAGTGTGGGACGGCTCTTCTCTCCGCAAAAAAGCTACAAGCCAAGTAGCTTTCACTGAACGGTCTGATGAGAGTTTTTGTGGCTGGCTCCGGGTTGGACCGTTGAGAGCTCAGATGATTCAGCAGTTTTTTCAGGTCTTCTCTTTTATGCAGCAATGTTCTCATGCCTAAACAGTTCATTAATCCAATCTTTGTATTCCTTGTTGCTCTGTGACTATTTCTTATTTACGTCCGTATGCCTGAAAGTAAGCTGTATTATCTACCAACCAGGAAATGAAAGCTATCATCTCATGAATCCCAAATTAGTTTTATAGTTGTGATATGTCTGAAAACGTGAATCAAATATGTATTTATTGCAGATTTAGCATTGGTTATTACTATGAAGAAAGAAAGAAAAGCAAGAAAATAGAGCAGAACAAATCTTGCACTGTCTCAGCAGCACAACTATCACACGATTAATTCACTTATTCTCACAGAGACGTGGCACCCAGGTGTCAGGTTTGGGCATTTTCTTCGACGTCGAAGGTATTTGATGACAGCAGCTCTACAGACAAAGCCGACTAAACATAAGGAAAATTTGTTTTTTGTACTTCTCAGGAATGAGATCATTTCAAAGCAGACCTAGAGCAGGATAATGACAAAGCTAGCTTAAACACCATGGGCACCAAATGTAACACTGGACAAGGTATGTCCATGAGTATCACCTCAGTACTTTGAGTTCCTAGTCCTTTTGACTATAAAGGAGCCAGCATGGCATAATTTATGAACTATGAAGCAAGACGATTTCACAAACACTCCCTATTCCAGGAAACGTTGGCCTTTATCCGTAGTGAAGACAGCTGGAAGAAAAGAAAAATAGGTGCCCTGTCTTCCAAAAGCTGATGGATGCTATAAAGACTTTAGTTTGTGCATAAACAGAACAGCTCACTCATCTGTCCATGCTCAAACAGTGGAGCGGTGCATGCAGTAACCAATTATCACAAACACGCGACTATGAGCTGTGATTGTTGCGCTTCCTAATCTGTGTGTAGTAGGTGTAACTGTATGAGATATATTAGCCACTATGTGTGGAATAATAAATTCTGCAACTGAAAAATAACAAGCTTTACTGAGGGGTTGTTTTTAAAATAATTACTTTTCATAAAAACTTTTTTCTTACTTTGATAAATGACAAAAATATGAGGTTTTTCAGAAAAGTTTCAGGACTGGTGTAACAAAAGATACATTTCAAATCCAAACTAAAAGTTTTCCCCTTCGAAGTACTTCCCTGGAGTCTAAAGGCACTTTCCCAGCCTTCTCTGCCACGCCGCCACGCACTCCTGGAAGGACTCTTCCGGGATCCTTTGCAGCTCCATCATCACAGCCATCTTGATGTTGTCCACGTCTTCCAAACGGGTCTCCTTAATAACCCCCTTGAGCTTGGAGAAGAGGAAAAAATCCCATGGAGCCAGGTCAGGTGAGTAGGGAGGTTGCTCCAGCACGGTGATGTTCTTCTCAGTCAGGAACTGTCGGATGTTCAGTGCATTGTGAGCAGGAGCGTTGTCATGGTGAAGCAGCCACGACTTGTCCTGCCACAACTCTCACCTCTTCTCTAAACGAAGCAAACGGTGCAGGATCTCTTTGTAAACATGCTGGTTGATCGTCTGAAGGGGAAAACTCGTAGTTTGCAGTTTGGGTTTGAAATATATCTTTTGTGACACCAGTCCTGGAACTTTTCTGACACACCTCATATATTTCTTGCATGTTTGTTATTGTGAATCAGATGTTCTGAAAAGCTCACAAGCAACATGGCTTTAATCTGCATTTAATACAAGTGCAGAGGTATGAAGGAAGGAATTAAATTGAGAAAAATGGAAGAATTCAACTGGAAATTTGTGTCCCCTTGTGAGACCCCAAACTGGTAATAAAGCTGGTGAAAAAACTTTTTTTTATTTATTTATTTTTTTTAATCAAAGCTGATAAGATCATTTGCCAGAATGAAAATAACATGGTTGCAACCAGGCTGTAAAAACAGACCTTGGAGATCTTCCTCATGAAAGCAATCTGGGATGTTTTAGTGTCAGAATGTTGCTTTCATGTTAAAACTAGTGTTATGTTAGACTCAAGGAAAAGTGAATGTTACTTTCTAAGCTAAGTTCTCCACACCTGAGATGTAAAACAAAAGGAAGTCTAACATGTACGTCTATAAGAATGAGGTGTATTGTATGTGTTTTATCAGTGAGCTCTCTGTCTGCTGGCACGCAGCCGCCCTGTCGACAGTCATGCCAAGGGCCACGTTCCACCTCTCCATCACACTACTGTGAATCTCCCTGAGCTGATTTCTCATGAAGCCCTCATCTCTTTCAGCCTTTGCCAAAACAGCTGAAGCTGAAGTCAACCTCAAAGCGAGCTGCAGACGCCCGTCAGTCAGAGGGTTCGTCTGCCTGCTCCTGTAACTGTATCGGCCGTACCTTGGGCTCCGGTTTCCCCGTCATGGTCTTGAGCAGCTCGTGGAGGTGCGGCCAGTTGCCCTGCGAGTACCAGCCGGGTTTGTCCAGCGACGGCAGTCCTTCACTCTCCTCCATGTCGTTGACTGCAGGAGCAAGAAAACTGAATGAGAAAATGCGGTCGCCACACTTTGACCCACAAACCAGCTGCTGAAGGAGCAGACGCGACCGAGCGGCCTGCAGTCATCTGGCACCGAACCGCAGCGTTCGCCCACAGGCCCACAAGGAAACAGAGCTGCAGAGGCAGAGTGTCAGTTACAGAGACAGTGGCACTGTTACCACATGTTCCCACTAAAGCTCACAAGTGACTCCCAACTTACAGGTGAGGAGCCTGGCAGGGGGGAAAGTGTGAACAGATAAATACAATAGGGAGGCAGGAACAATTTTCTTTGTTATGAAAGACAACCTGATTTTAGATATAGGATCAAGTCTTCAACTATACAAGATAAAAGGCTGGCAGCTACACTACAGCTACTTTTACTTAGCTTCCATTTCAACAATAAGATGGAACCACAAACCTTTTAAATAATCAGAAACTCATTTTAAAATAATTTAAAGTACCATTATACAAAAGGTTACAACTGCTTTGCTTTTCTTTACTGATTGTGCATAATTAATTTCAGCAATGACATTTGTGATTGAAATTATGTGTTACTGACCTTTTTTTCCGCAATAAAAACAAGACAAAATCAACAAAAAGCAGTTACCAGAGGCAAAAATGCAATATGTGTTCCATTTTTCCATTATGAATTAAAACTAAATGATAACGTACAGACAGACTAATTATTTGTCTGTCTTAAAATGGTCAAATCAAGTATCAACCACTGTAATATCATGCAGACGTCATTTGAGTGCTGCAGTAAACACATTACTGACATTTTACCTTCATAAAGTAGAGTATGTAATTGTAGTAGCAATGCATTTGCACACAATTATTATCAACTCATACATCACATAGACACAGAGCTACAAACCAGTCTAATATCCAGCCTCTTTTAACTCTGTTTTGGTCTCCACCAACTCCTGAATTGCATTTAGCTTAACTGCTATCAATAAAGGTAAATAGCACATACAAAAGGAAAACATATGGGTATGTTGAATACACCTACTCAGTCCACTAACTCCAGCCATATATTAAATTAGCTAAAGTAGAACCGCAGTGTTTCCGAAACGTCAAAATGATGAGTCGATGTTTCTGCCCTGCCCACCTTACCCCCAACTTGGCACGGTGGTCAGACAGGAGTTGGCCATTTCTAGCTATGTGTGGAAAAACAAATTCCTAACTGATGACACTGCACCAGAAAAGAGAACTGTGACAGAACAGTGCAGCAGAACAGTTATTTATTTATTTTAAAGACCAATCAAAAAGAAACCAAGAAATATCCATGAATATATTATGCTGTGATTTATTCCCATAGTCCAAACAGCAACTAGGTAGGAGTGACAGTTACTATGGTTACAGGGATGCCCTGAAACTTTACTGAAACTGCAAGGTGGCTGTTTCTTGACTTAATCCAAGCAGTTACGTGGCATAAAAATTCAGGTAATTTGTTTTAAATGACATATCCCGCACCCTCTACCAATTATGTATCTGTATAAGATTGCTCCCACATTATAAAACATAACCAGGCGTCCACAAATGTTAGCGACCAGCCCGGGCCTAACTAAAGGAAGAACCAAGCTTATGAGTGGGTGACTTATATACAGGGATAATGAAGAGATCCTGCTGGTCTCTCATTTACCACCGCAGGCTTATCAGAAGTTAAATCAGTCCCTGGCTTCAACACAGACAGAATCCTTCAGCTTCTCTGTATTCTCATTTCTGGCACATTCCCTGCACCATAGTTATGTAGCCTGTGCAGGCAGGTTGACAATAGAGACATTAAAATAAGAGGGTATCTGTTCCATCAGATGTGGGTGAGAAGAAAAACTAAAAAATGCAGCCAAAATGCCTTTTGGGTAAGCACATTAGCCAGGACATTCTTGAAAACAGAAAAAAAAAGCCTTCCATGCAGGAGTTTGATAAAGTTCAAATAAATAATGGGAAAAAAATATTCATATACAAGACCAAAATCATGATAAAACATGAAAACACACATGAAAAAGGTGTGTTGTTTACTCAATTCTGGGTATTCACTCCCCGTACGAAGCTATCTGAGCATTCTCCAGCAGCCATTACTTCAGCAGCAGTGGAGGGGAAAACCAGACTGTGAGTGAAAGCAGAGCCGTGGTGGTGACTGGCGAGTTCAGGCCCAGCCGTGCCCCTCTAGTCTCAGTCCAAGCCCAACACACACCACGTGTCAGCCAGGACGGCTTCCAAAACCTCACATTTACCCTCTGAAAATGTTGGAGCCGCGCGTCCGGCCGTGCAAAAAACACCCAGTCATTCTGAGCTCGCGGAGCTCATGAATAATGACTAAGGATTTTCCACTGGTTGGCTCCATGTTTTATGATTGCACAGAAGAGAAAGCCATTTAGTGAAATTAGTTTGCAAACTCAGAAAAATAGTGCAGCCTTCATTTTGAGACACTGCTGACGCATCGAACAAGCAAACTATATTCTGAACAGCATATAATGTGCAGCAATGCAATAATGATATACCACAGTGTAGTATAAGTCATGTCTTACCATGTCTGATTCAAAATGAGTTTGCTTAAAGACCCAAAATTAAGCAGTAAAAAGATAAACAAACAAGATTTAAAGCCTTTAGCCACATCGGTGTGTGTGTGTGTGTGTGTGTGTGTGTGTGAGGCGGCATGTAGAAACAGTGCTGCTACATATGTAAACAGTCATAAAAATGCTGATTTTAGCAGGCAATGTTTACCCCAGTTGTCATCTTAGATTAGCCTGTTAGCATGACAGAATTAGTCACTAATCATACCCAGACCGGTAAATGAAATTAGAAAAAGTTGTGAGTTGTAGCTACGATCAAATTTTGTTTCACCCCAATCCGATCCCAGTCATTTAATACTTAATGTCTTCCAATACTGGGTCCCAATCTGATATTATTTTCCTAGATAATACACACTGCAAGTATTGTAGATTATCCCAAGCACCTGGTTGCATCACCAGGTAGTGTTTTCCTGTAGAATACTGTAGCGACCAGAAGAGACGAGGAATTCCATGTTCAAGTCCATGCAGGGTTTCAGTTAACGAAGGGGCTCCATGACAAAGTCTTGTCACGGTTAATGACGTCAAACATGGTAAACTATGCCAGGATTGACAAGCACAGTGATTCTACATCCCATTGGCATATTATGAGCCCTTTTGCAGCCTGTATCATGTCTCCAAGGTTTAAATAGCAACATCAACACAGAAAAAAATGTTCAGTACATTAAATCTGTTAAACAAATGAATAAATTATTGATCAATATGTGGACATCCAGAGCCATCTCAACAAGGCCAGAAATTCTCTTCACCTGATGAGCAAGGTATGGCACTCCTCCACCTACAGCACTCACACCAAGCTGAAACACTACCACAGCTCTGTCCTCACAACTCTCCGAAAAGCATCGGAGACTCACTGAACAGGATTTAACAGAGCTATCCACATTTCACACCAAGAGCCTCCACCAAATTCTATGCATCTTTTGGCCCAAAACAACTTCAAACAAAGATCTGCTCGAAAGGGGTGGAACCGAATCCACGGCTACCATCCTAATGAGGAGACACTGGAGGTGGATCGGCCATGTCACCCACCAAGAAGCCTCCATCGTCAAGACTGCCTTGCACTGGACAACAGAGGGAAAGCAAAGGAGGGGTCATCCGAAGACCACATGGCAGCGGACAGTGGAGAAAGAAATGCAACAGATGGGAAAGACCTGGAGCAGCATTTCAGTCATGGCGAAAGACCAGCACAAGTGGAGGGATCACGTTGCTGCCCAACATGAATCCCAACGTAATGGGCATGAACTGAACCGAATGGACTAGAAAAAACTAAATACCAATACCTGTGTGACTGAGGATGTAAACAAAGAATTTAGCTTAAGTTAGTGCTAATATAGATGACTTAAAAAATGTCTTAATCAGGATTGGCAAATTCCCAACCAAAACCTGAGTATACAATATCAATCTACATAAATCCAGGTTTATGACAGCTAGTGTCACTGTCACTAAAAATCACCCAAAACGCTGAAGGGGACTACTTTACATCCACTCTCACTGAGCTGACCGAGATCTTTGTTTTACAAAAGCACACACACATTGAAACACCAAGCTTGTGCTTTCAGATTTACACGTTTGAAGGCTTCTGCAACTGGAAAAGTTAAAGTAAGCTGAAAAAAAAAAACAACAGCTTATAAATCAGTGACACACTGAAAGCTCTGTAGAGCTGAGAGGAAGTGCAGAATCAGTGATAATCCTTTGATGGTTAATCGCTAGAGGAGACTTTCAAATACCACAGTCACTTCACCCATTGTTAACATTGGGAATTAATTAGAGAAGCTATAAAACTTGTTCTTCTGTATATCAACTTCAATAAAAAGTAAAGCAAAGTACTGGAAGAGCAAATGATGAGTGGTGCACACTTTCTCAACATGTGCTGTTCATGAAGAGTAGATGAGAGATTTAGTGAGCAGGCTGCAGGACATCTGTCAAAGATTCCATCAATCATCAACAGCACACTGACATAGAAGGTAGTTTGACTGCAGGTAAAACTATCTTTAACAGAAGGCAGCCAGTGATGCTCTCCAATGACCAGACAGCATGAAATGTTTAACAGTGAAGTTTGTATTTACTCGTAGCTGTGCGGGATCCTGACTCTACGTTACAGACACTTTTATGAAGTGGCGAGTATGTTTAGGTCATTTAAAACAGATTATGTTCACAATTGCCCAATATTCTGTAAATACAGGGATGACTGAAAAAAATGTGCAAAGCAAGCATCTGACCACTTTCAAAGCAGAGAATTCACTCAAATTAGTGGCTGCACTTTCTGAAACGTTCTGTGATTTTGCGGTGATCTACGTGACGTTTTCTTCTGGTGGGGGAGATGACAGGCAGGAATGTGAGTAAGTGATAAATGAGGCTGGCACAGACATGTCTGCAGGGATTCTTTACTATTTGGATTGGGATGATCTGGGCTGTA